TGATTATATCTACTCAAGAAACATGCCTTAATGTAAACATTGACAATTTATTATGGAATGTATTAAATCTGACAATTATTTAATATATTTTCTGTTTATATATATATATATATATATATATATATATTAATGTACATTTGGGCAGCAAACATTTTTTAAACATGTTTCGTTGAATATGACAGACAGAGAAAATTTAATTTTTTATTTAGTTTTTCCAGCATTCTTCCATTTTTCTGTTTGGTATGAGTCAGGGAGTGCAATAAATTGTCTGTATTGTCTGTTGCCTCAAGCACTTTCAGCTTTTCATAATAGAAGCAACAGACCAGATATGGCAGCAGTATTCAATGCATGGTCGAATGGTAGATTTATAAATGTGCAAAATAGATTCTGATGAGAAAGATTTTCTTGCATGACATCATGAACCAACTTTCTTACCAAGCAGACCTGATTCAATATAATCATGCCACTTCATGTCAGTGGGCCAAGATATGAGACCAAGAAGGCATAGTGTTGTTCTCCTGGAGGTTAGCATCAGCCATAAACACTTGTTGAGTTATTTCATGTCGAAATAAATTATTTCATTATCATGAATATTATCTCCTTTTGAATGGTTTTTGTTTTCAACCAGAGATCTTGCATTATGGATGTTCTCTATTGTTGTATGACCTCAGACAGAGGGCACCTTTTGAGGAACATATATAGTGCTAAGCAATGCGGACTTCTGAAGTGATCTGATACTAGTCTTTATTATGATTTTCTCAATGTAGAAATAAGTTTGGTGGTATAGACTCCAATGGGATTGTGGGACAATAGTGGCCTAAATGTCCCATAGTAGTTTGGTAACTTCAATCTGGAAGTCAGTGCATTCTTTGAGCTTGGCAATTTCTTTGACAATCATATTATGGTCATCAGGAACATCCATGTCAATGAGCAGGCATATTCTTGATTAGTGTTATTATAATTGTTTCAGTTTGTGAGCATATACTTGGTTTAAATAGGTAAATATTGGTTGTTTATACCTGGGCCATTAGGGAAATATTAGTCAGTTATATTTGAGTATTTCATCAGTAGTCACTTTTTGGAGAGGGCCTTGTACCACTGCAGATGATATAATCAGTGTATTTTAGGATATTAGTGAGAAAGGGCATTCAACAGACAATCCTGGAATTTGAACTCAGCTTGCAGATTCCATTATTTGTAGTGAATATCCATTAAATGACCCAGCCATCTTGCACTATGAACTGCCACTTCTTTTTTTATGAGATTGAACAATCAGCTTTAACTGATTTTGTGTCTACAGGGTGCGATGAGTAAATTGTCACCATTTTATATTTTTAATTTCCTGCATGGGTGTTATTTGTTTTTGTTGACTTCAATATTAGAGTCAGTTGGGCACCATCAGTGAGAAAAAGATCACCATGATGCAATTCACTCCACCAGAAATTTGGAAATGGCTTGCTGTACTGCTTGGTATTCAAACCAGAATCTCCAATCTGAACATTTCAGAGTGTTTCGGTGTCAATTTGAGGACAGTGCAGATGATTCAGAAAGAGTTGGATGTGTCTAAAGGTGATTACAAAGGTATGGCAGCTCAGAAAACTCATTCTGATTGTTCTGATAAGAACTCCCGAATTTGTTGAACAGACTGAACATGGAAGCCTACACCAAGTGCCTTGAGGGTTAGTGCTGGCCTGGGTCAAGTGGGTGGTTGCTGGAAGCCTATGTCTGGCAAAATGACTCTGCACCATGCCACACTAGCAGGAGAACCCAGTCATGGCTCTCAGACAATTTCTGCGACCACATCACCCCTTATATCTAGCTACTTAACTCCCCAGGTTGCAACCCCCTTGATTATTATATGTGGGGCACAGTTGAGCAAGTGACCAACAAAACTTTTTGTAACACCAAAGATGAACTGAAGGCAAGGTTTATGGCAGCATTCACTAAGTTTAACAAGGAGACCATCCAGAAGAGTTGCAAGAGATTTCAAAGTTGTCTGGAGGCTATGGTTAAAGCAATGGCGATTTTATTGAATAAATTTACTCTTTACTATTTCAAGATATTTTTGTGTAATTTTGGTAAATATATGTTAAAATGAGATGTCAGTGTTATTTTCATTTTTACGTAATTTAGTTGAAAATTTATCCATTGCATCCTGTACATTCACTTGTAGTGAGTTTATGTATCTCTGATATTTTGTCATTGTTATAAAATGTTTTTATGTATCTAGTCTACTTTTTACTTCACTTCAGATTGAGTTGTTTGTTGAGCGTGTTAATGTCTTCAATGAAGCAGAATGTAGAAAGGCAAGTTAAAATTGACAAGACAAAATTGGGTTTTCAGTGAAATTACAATATCAGCAACACTTGTAAAAAAATGGAATGGAGATTGTAATTCCGGATTATATAGAAAAGAGAAAAATAGAGAATGGATAAAGAAGGTGGAGATAGAGAAGGTTACAAAATAAGAGAGAGAAAAGGTAAAAGTGTAAAGAGAGAACTTTCTAGTCAATCCTCATACAGTCGAATAATGGACAGCAGCTCAGATTGAGGAATCAGAGAGCCGAGTTCAAATTACAGTTGAATCTATTACATTCACTTACGTGCTAATACCCTTGGGAATGGTATGAATTCTCTTCTTCTCCCCCCTCAGCTATGGGTAAATAGCAGTAGAGTCTAGGTTCTATAGCCTTGGATGGCAACGGGCCTAACATAGAAAGAAATGGCAACCTACTGCAGGAAAAAATCTGCTGCCTTGTCAGTCATGTATTGAAAGATACATGATTGCCTAAGCATGTATCACACATGGCACATAACTGACTGATATAATATAAAAGGCTCAAACACTAATATTTCATGGTTATAATTTATTACATTGGAATCATAATCACATGATTACGACTCCAATGTAATAAATTATAACCATGGAATATTATTGTTTGAGCCTTTTATATTATATTCTTGCTCTGTCTTTGACATAGAGCACTTCAGGACAAACATTGGGTTTAAGATGGCATTGGAACCTCCTAGAAGACAATGATATGAAGCATCAAAGCAAATCCACAAAAAATGGGTCCGTAAAAAGAAATGTTAAGTCTTGGAATGGCCTAGTCAAATCCTAAACCCAAATGCAAATCTGTGATTCATAATTGAAAGAAGGTAGTGCATATAAGAAACCCAGGTTAGATTGAGCAATTGTGGGAGTTTTGCCGAGAAGAATGGTCAAAAATTGGCACTTGCTACAGCTAGAAACTTCTTAAAAATCATAGAAAAAGACTGATTGACATTGTAAAATCAAAAGAAGCAATACCCAGATATTAAGTGTAAGGGTTCAGTTACATTTCCACATCTTAATTTATAATTTGTATTTAATATTTTTTATTCCAGCTTGATAAAAACTTTTGAAAGAGGTTGTAATTAATTAAATAAAACTTTTTCTTAATGAAAATATAGTTTAATTAAGATCTTTTGATCATCTGAAAAAAAGAGACACATTTTTTATAAATATCATCTTATGGTTCACTTACATTTGCACAGTACTCTGTATATTAATATCTATATATTGTCATTGAAATGTATACAAATATGCTATGAGCTTTTATTCCTACCCAATAGTTTGTGTTTTAGAAAAGTATTTGATCTCTAGTGGCTTAAACTACAAGAAGACATGAATGCATGGTCATCAGTAAGAGGAAAAGCACAAAATGCGATTTGCAGGTTGGGAACACTAGAATCAAGCAGCCGCAGAAATTTAAATATCTGGGAAGCGTCTTGACAGAGGACGGTCAGTGTGAAACTGAGATCTGTAGACAAAGTTAAAGTATCTGTTAAAGTATTTTGATACACCCTATATCTGTTTGCTATCTGTTTTTATCTCATTATATATATATATATATATATATATATATATATATATATATATATATATATATAATGAGATAAAAACAGATAGCAAATTTTTATCAATCTAACATGTTTCTTATATGGAGACATACACACACACATATACAAATATACATTATTGACCTGAGTCCCACTTAGACAAACTAGAATTATTATACACTTACAGACATAAGGTAATATTTATGATTTTCAGTTAGGCTTGGAATCTTATAATTTCTTGTAACTTGGAAAGGATGTGTTGTCTCTCCTTGAATTTGGAATGCCATAAATTATGCTGATGTTAGTTTAACAAATCATATGCACATGAAACCTGATTAATCAATGAAAGTCAAACAGCACAAAGATAAAAAATACCAGACTTTCTTTTTTTTGTCCATCTCTCATTCTATGATGAAGCTTTAATAAAAGTGAAACATGTTAAGTTGATAAACATTTCCTATTTGTACCTTATCTTATCATTCTATCAGATTCTGATCTGTATTTGATTCCAATTTATACACACACATACACACAGTAGATGAATAAATTGAAAATATAAAAAAAAAGTGAGTAAAAAATATTGATAAGAGATTTGAGAGCAAGAGAAGAGTTAATAAAGGGAGATTAAAAGTTAATAATACAAGAGAAAAGAGAATAATTTGAATGTGTGAGAGTGAAAATGAGGCTGGGTTAAGTCTAAAAAGAGAAATGATAAAAAACGCTAAGAGGAAAAGTGATAGAGAGTAGAACAAGAAAAACAAGAAATATAGAGGGTGAAAATAAAGAGGCAGTGTGAGAGAGAAAGAGAGAGAAATGACTTGAATAAAGAAAAAAAAAAGAACAAGAAATGCAATTTAGAGAAAGATAATAAAAATTTAAAGAAGTTTAAAATTCTAGTACACTACAAAAAGAAAATTATGTGTTAATTTAATAGAAAAGTTAGAAGCTAAATAAACGTTTAAACAAAAAGAAAGAAAAAAGAAGAAAAGAACTTTAGCAATCATTAGAATAAATCTGATTAAGTCTGATATCAATAAGACAAAGTGTTGACCTTTACATTCAGCCCATACTCTTTTGGGAAGACATTTTTTTGCCGGCCATTTTTGTTTTCAGTAAGTTTTAAAAAGGAAAAACAATAACAGAAGGACAACTTCCACCTCCTCCCTTGCTTTTTGAATTTCCTTCCGTCGGAGGTGGTAAGGAGAAGGCAAGGATGACAGAGAGAAGGAAAGCTGAGAAGAGTGAGGGAAAGAGATGAAAGGAAATGGTGGAGGAAATGAAAGGAGGGAAAGGAGGAAATGAAAGGTTTGGAGGGAGTGAGAGAGGGAAAGAAGGAGAAAGAAAAGAAAGAAGTGAAATGAGAGGTAAGGATAGAAGGGAGAGAAGAAGGGAGAAAGAGATCAAAGGGGAGGGAAGAGGAGAGAAAAAGGAGTGTGGACAAAGAGGGAAGGAAGGAGAAAGAAAAGAAAGAAGTGAAATGAGAGGTAAGGATAGAAGGGAGAGAAAAAGGGAGAGAAAAAAGGAGAAAGAGATCAAAGGGGGGGGAAGAGGAGAGAAAAGGAGTGTGGACAAAGAGGGAAGGAAGGAGAAAGAAAAGAAAGAAGTGAAATGAGAGGTAAGGATAGAAGGGAGAGAAGAAGGGAGAAAGAGATCAAAGGGGAGGAAGAGGAGAGAAAAGAGTGTGGACAAAGAGGGAAGGAAGGAGAAAGAAAAGAAAGAAGTGAAATGAGAGGTAAGGATAGAAGGGAGAGAAAAAGGGAGAAAGAGATCAAAGGGGAGGGAAGAGGAGAGAAAAAGGAGTGTGGACAAATGGAAGGAGAGGGAGATAAAAAGGAAGAGACAGGGAAAGCAGGGAGTGAGGAAGAGATAGAAGCTAACAAAATAGTTTTATTTATTCATGCAATGGTTTCTGGAGGAATGGAGAAACTTGAAAATTGATGGAAGCATGAAGAGAAAGATTTTACAAAATGGATGGTGACATGAAATATAAAGTAGAGAAATGGTAATGATGAGATTAACTGTTTCCTTATAAGGAGACATAAAAGAGAGAATAAAAGTGGGGAAACTGGGAATAAACGTGAGGGAAAGAGTAAAAAAAAAAGTAAAAGAAAAGGAGAAAGTATTAAAAAAAAAGAAGAGAGAATGATAAAGGGAGATCACTCATGAAAAAGAAACAAATGAAAACTGCAAGGGAATAAATAAGGTGGGGATTAGAAAATATATGAAAAAAAGATAAAAAATAAAATAAGAGAGAGAGAGAAAGAAAGGTTTGTAAAGGAGAATGGTAAAAGAAAGACAGGTGATAAATATTTATAGTAATTTAGAAACTATAAAGATGATAAAAATGAAAATGGAGAAAAAAGTGAGAGAGATTGAGAAAAGAGAATATAAAAATAAAAGTAAGAAGCAGAACTATTTGATTTGAATCTAAATTAAAATTTAAAAAAATGGACAACTATTTTATAAGAACAAAGACAATATGCCAAGATATGGCAAGACCTTGGCCAATTTGATTCTTGAACTGTTACTACCTGATTAAAAAAATATTTTTCTTACTGCTAAATTATCTTAATAAAAAAATTAATGACTTTAATAGTAAAGGTTGAGCATAAAAAACGAAAGACATGGAAATGTCATCAGAGGTTGAGAAAAGATGAGACAAAAGATGGAGTTTATTTAACAAATTTATGACTAAAAGAATGCATTCTACAAAGTTCAAGACTAAAATAACAAAAAACAGGGAAGAAATGTAGTGTAAAAAATGTGATTAAAACCAAGAATTATTAAACAAAAGGAGATTTATTTTTTATTTTTAAAGATGGTAGGATTTTTATTTAGCTGGGAGATCAAATTTTATACTAGGCCAGTTTAATGAATGAGCACCCCTCTCATGAATATATTGAAGAGAGTGCTCATTAAACGAACGTTGTGTTAAATTTTCCCTTGTATGGTGGCAGATAGAAAGAAATCTCTCTTTGTTTTTAGAAATGGTAGAGTTGGTTAGGATAAAAGAACAATGGTATGAAAGACATAGAAAGATAGAGAGTCAGAATCTGTGTAGAACATAAAAGGAATAGAAAAATTGAAGCAATTGGAGGCAGAATAAAAATGTCAAGAAAGAAACGAAAGATACAAAGAGAGAAGTGTGAGAAAATGAAGATTATAAAGGAAAAAATAAAAGAATAGAGAGATATAAAGAGAGGATGAGAAGAGGAGAGAATTTGAAATAAAAGAATAAAAGTTCAAGAAAAAAGTGGGAACTTCCTCCTCAACTCAAACTTATAGGAGTATGAGAAAAGAAGGAAGATGTGAGTGCAAAATAGAATGAAAGGGAATGGAGAGAAGTAGAAAATAGAAAGTATGAGACAGAGGTATGAGCTGGAAAAGAGAGAAAAAGGGAAGAAATTTTTTAAAAAGTGATGATGGTGATGTTAGTACTAGGATCAGTAGATGTCAACAGACTGAGATAGACATGGACAGATTGAGATAGACATGAACAGACTGATTTAGATAGATATGAACAGATAGAGATAGATATAAACAGAGTGAGATGTTGAGAGACTGAGATAGATAGGTATGAGCAGACTGAGATAAATAGACAGCTATGAACAGACTGTGATAGATAGATAGATAGATAGATAGATATGAAGAGACTGAGATAGATAGATAGACAGATATGAACATACTGAGATAGATAGATACAGAGATAGATATGAACAGATTGAGATAGATATAAACAGACTGAGAAAGATAGATAGATAGGTAGGTATGAAGAGAGATAGGTAGTTAGCTAGCTAGCTACATAGATAGATAGATAGATAGATAGATAGATAGATATAAACAGACATATAAATAGAGAGCTATAAACAAATGGAGTCTCAAGAGAGTAGGACTCAAAAGTAGATTTTGCTTGTTAAAAATCTCATTTATTTTCATTTAAGAATTTGTCAGTTGAAAAGAAAAAGAAAGAAAAGAAAATTAGAAAGAGACTTTTCAAATTTCATTCTTACTTTGGTTTGATTGTTTCAAATAGATGAAAATGATTTTGTCTCGAGAGGAATTACAGGTTTATGATGAAATGTCTTTTTTTTAATCATTTATTTTGAATAAAAAATGTTTGAAAGTAATTTTCTTTGAATTAAGATTTAAGTTAGATTTTTATAAAAGCGATCACTTGAATTTTCTTTTTCATTCAAAACCAGTCCAAAATTCATTAGAGCTTGAATTATAAAGGAAGAAAATCATAATAAGGTCGGCTAACAATCAGATTATACCTTTCAATGTAAGATAATGAAACTTTTTTAGTAAAAGGAATCTGTCACCTACCATTAGAAATATATATATATATATATATATATATATATATATATATATATATATATATATATATATATTACATACTTCTACACAAAATGCATCATGAGTAAACATTTCCATTTTGCCATACAAATTCCTGAATATTATTTTTTGGTATATAAAAATATATATTTTCTCATACATATATATATATATATATATATATATATATATATATATATATATATATATATCTTTTCCACTTCCTTTCCATAACACTCAATGTCCTGTCTTTCAATCAACATGAGCCTGTTATTTTTTTTAAAGATAATTATGTAGCATTCTTTGTGCTTTTTGAAATAAAGTGTTAAAGTGGTCATTTTAAAAATATCGCCTGAAGAGACTGTCAGGTCAAAACCATGGTTGTGTATTTTAATTGACCTCCTGATTTTTAAAGTTAAAAGCACTACACATTATTTTTATTTTTACTTATATTTTTTCTCACATGTATTGAGCACTTTTTACTCCTACTGTTTCCTGGTCTGATTCAACTCTATGTATTATATATATATATATTCATTGAATAATACAGTGTAACCCGGATATAAGAGAGTTGGTGGGACTGGAGAATAAATCTCTTATATCCGGGTTTGGTCTATTTTATATACATTAACACAGGCTCTAATTTGGGACCAGAGAAAATCTCTCTTATATCCGGGTTTCTCTTATATCTGGGTCTCTTATATCCGGGTTACACTGTATAGACATATTATATCTATTTTTATACTGGTCCTTTCCAGTTCTCTAATCAGTTTCATGATGTTATGATGAAATTCCTCAAGGAAGGTGCTATAGCTTTTTTCTACCCAAGTACTTTCGATCTTCTCCAAGTTCATCTTCAGTGGGTAAGTTACAAAGACAAATTTATTGTAACTGTGATAAAATCTGCATTTTCTTGTGATGGTGATTTTTAAAAACTTGTGGAAATGTACTCTGTTATAATTATTTAAAAAAATTTAATTTATCTATTAATGGCGTTTTTTGCGAAACAAGCATCCCAATATAAGGGAGATAACTGGAAATCACCATCACAATGAAATGCAGATTTTATCACAACAAATAGACATATGTCTATCATATTCAATGAAACATGTTTGAATGAAGATATGCTGTCTAAATATACATATACACATATATATTTAGACAATTGTTGCTCAAAGTTGGGTTTGACCAGGGAACAGTTATATTAAAAAATGCTCTATACACAACCCAAAAAATTGAATGTGCAGAATTGTTATATATTAAGCTAGCCGAAGTACCCGGTGCTGCCTGGGTATATATGGCTGCAATTGTATATCCTCCCCCCCTGTATACCTGCACTCCCTGTCTAGAAATATCTGTCTGCGTCCCTGCTTGCATGCATCATCTGTTGGTTTACTAAGCTATTCTCCCTCATCATTTTTATGGTATGTCCTCTGCAAGTGTTTGTTCTTAATAAAGGAATCCCTCCATTAAAACATTCTTGCGTGGTCATTGCTCGAGGTTAAATTGTTTCAATGTTTTAGATATTCAGTAAATTTCCTATGGCCATAATAACTTTCAAATAGTATGGCATTGTTCACAAAACTAATAATCAAACAAAAAAAAAAGGATGAAGCACCAGAGCTTGATTCAATTGCAGTGCAAAGGCACGAACGTCCCCCTCCTTCTTCATGCGTTTACTCTAAAGCTGGGGTTAATAATAAGTTATTTGGGAATTTTCCCCTTTTATTAATCATTCTCAAACAATCTTTGCATCAAAGGTTGTTCGAATGTCAATTTAGGATGGAATCGTATGAAAAAACTATTGGCTAAATACCAAAAGCTGATTTTGGACCTAGTTCGTTGCAGATTTCATCCACTTAACTGAAATAATCTAAACCAAACATTTGTGCAAGACAATTTGTGTGTCATATGTAATTTACATGGCAAAGCATCGATGAAAAACCAGTGAGTTATGGACGAAAAATGGACTTTTTGAACAGTTTTTCATGGTTTTTCTTATACATGGGGAATTGAGCAGGACTAAAACCACACTACCTTATTTCTTGTATGATGGCAAATTTTTTGCGACATGTTTGAAGAAAATCGGATAAAAAACGAGGAAGTTATTTAAGTATTTATTTTAAGTAGTACGAAAAACGCGATTTTATCACAGTTTTTTGTAATTTTTTGTGTGAGGCTAATATCGCTGGAAAAAGAGTCTGGAGATTAAAAAGTTGGTCTTGACCTAACTTAGAAAATTTGCAACATATGCGTGTAGTGTGTAACTTCATTGAAATTGGTCGAGAAATGTGGACATGCATAAATAGCATACAAACACACAAACACACACAAATATTTTCTGATATATAGATATCAAAAAACAGGAAGCTTTATCACTTACCCCCCCCCCCATGGTTTCAACCATTGAGGTCTCGTCATGTGGTAGATGCTAGTTAATCTCCTAATGCTTTATTTGCTTATTTTATGTGTACACAACAGGAAGTGTGACAGAAGGGGATGGGTGAAGCAAGAGCGAGGAAATAGGGTAGGATGGGGGAGTGAAAAAAATTATATGTACTTTCATCTGGATTCGTATAAACTCAAAATATACTGTTTAGTGTGTCAACACCCCGACATGACCTCAGACCTTTCATTTAACAGCTTTTTTTTGGTCTGGACACGTTACTATTGCTAGTTTTTCTTCCTGGCACAGCCTACAGACCTCATCACCATTACTGTATGGCTTGGCTCTCCTCAATATGCTCCAGCTCGCATTTGGGCTTTTGTTGTTATTTTTTTCTTTTAATTTCCACACATCAGTCAGTCTGGTACAATTCCTATGGCTTTCTATCCTAAAAGACGAACTGTGATTGTACCATTTCTTTTTTAAGGTACTATCATATATCTTGCTCTGACCATTTTCATGTGTGAAAGTGAGTGAAAGAGAGAGAAAAAAGCTGATAGATTATTCTATTATCCTTCTAGTGTATGTTCTATGCAAGTGGAGATCGTAAATACGCTACAAAAAACAATAATCTTATTTCAAAATCGAGTGTAGCCGTTAGAAAGAAGTTGTGATGATGCGTTTGAAAGCAAAGCTGATACACTTATCTATTCTGTCTACCTTAACCTCATTGCTAAAATACAAACAGATTTACACAACACCAGAAGCTGCACCAAGAAATGCATTAATCAATTTTATCTTTAATTTTTTTAGTTACATGTCAGAAGTTTCTTTCTTGAGACAATGACTGAAATGAGAAAACATGATTAACAAAAAAAGATTTCTGATACATTGCTCAACAAATCGTTTTGATCGCAGGCATTATGCGTTTAAAATATTCTTAAGTTTTTAATTTAATTCGGTATATCAGATTGAAGGCGTATTGGGATGGCCAAAGATGCATTCCAAAAGCTAAGCAGAGTATTAAGAAACAGAAAAAAATCATTATAAACAAAGAAAAGAGTACTGGATTGTTAAGTAATGTCAGTGCGCCTCTCTGGCAGTGAATGGTAGATAATCTCTTCACAGATGAAGAAGGAGCTTGAAGCAACAGGAATATGGTTGTGGAGAATCATGATCTGAAGGAACATGGTATATAAAAGAAGGAGGAACTGATTGAAAATCAAAACAAGATTACAATGGTCTATGAAATAGCAAAAATCCTATCAACCATACCTATAAAATTATTAATATCTAGCAAGACAATTCCATGGTTAACTGCATCTGATAGCATAAAATAAATTCTTTTTATTTTACCAAATATTAGAATTATATATTATATATTAATAATAAATTTATGATAAGAATAGTCCACTTTTTAAAAATTATTTTAATAACCATATTTGATGGAATATAAGACCCATTATTTTACTAATTATATTTGATGACATATAAGACACATTTTTCTTTGTTGTTTTACTAATCATATTTGATGACATATAAGACCCATTATTTTACTAATTATATTTGATGGCATATAAGACCCATTATTTTACTAATTATATTTGATGGCATATAAGACCCATTTTTTTATTATTTTACTAATCGTATTTGATGGCATATAAGATCCATTTTTCTTTATTGTTTTAATTACTCTATTAGGTGGCATATAAGCCTTTTTCCTTTTAATTTTAAATGCTGTATTTGCTGGTATATACGATTTACTTTTCTCTGCAAGATTTTCTTAAATTTCTAATAAATTCACGAATAGAAAGTTTGTTTTAAATTGAATCTAATCAGGAAATGGATGAAGTTCCATTAACTGAACAACATTGATTATACCAGCACAATTTTCTCATAGTCCCTGTCAAAATGGTTAGAAGTCATAGAACGTAGATATGTAAACGTATATTGCAAATTATGGATTTTTTTAGAGAGTTGCGTGTTATAGGGTGACGAACTTTTGCAACCTATGGGTGCTAGGGAGTTCGATTCTCATTGAAAACCCCATTTTGGATTACCCGTTTTGCTACGGAGGGTAACAAAACGTCGCTCTACGTTAAGCGCTTGCGTAAAGCGTTTACG